AAATCATGAAAGCTTTAAACTACTAAAAGCTTTAGAAAGAGATATGCTTCCATTGCACAGAGTTGAATTATTTGTCCATTTAACACAAAATATTTGCTTGTAGTTTTTATTATATCAAGCAGAGCTAGAATGCTATCACCTGCTGGCTGACTTTTCCAACTCATCTCTGATTCTGCTGTAGAACGTAGTTGGGCAACCTCCAGGCTACACTTGCCCCCGAACCTCTTTTTTTTTGTAGTTGATGGAAATTTCACTGTCAAAATCTGTTAACAAATGCTAAAAATAGACATATAATTTCCTGCCAATTTGGGGCAGGAAAGCTGAATACCAGGCAAACTATTTGACAGTCTTTAAAAAAAACATATTTCCAATTACCCTAAACCATATATAATATAACATAACTCATTCATGTAATGCCATCATATTTTCCCCTCATACCTTAGTTTAGGCCATACCAAGAGAATCAAAGAAATTGCCTTCCCCAGCCAGGACAATCTGACTGTCCCTTCTGTAAACACTTAATTCAAATGATTTGGTCTGCAAAATAATTATAAACATAACATGCAAGTTATCAGGATCAATCTCCACGGGGAGGCTATTACAAGAAGAAAATTCTGCCATGCAAAAAAAAAAAAGTTTTATAGTTGTCATCTGTTTCACTTCCAAAGTTGGAACACTCAGAAAACAGTTTGAGATGAAGAGCTTACATCTTGGGGAAAATCCACAAAACAGTTATAATGATAAAGCAAGGGAAGTTCACCTTGAACTCCATGAAGGAAGAACAGAATATAATGTCATCACTGCTAATAAAAACAAACAGTCAGACATTGCAAGGAATATGGAGTCACTCACCTGTGTTGCTCTCTCCCCGTGAAAAATTCACTACTGTGTTGTCTTGACCTCAGCACACTGTGTTTTAGTGGAAGTGAAGAAATCATATATATACCTTTCATAAAACAGTGACCTGTAAAAGAGGAGGCGGCTACTTAAGTTGACATATAATAATCAATACAAAATGAACTTTGGGTACTTGTATGAGAGGCTGAGAGATAAAAGTTTTGCACCTATACATGATTTCTTTATAAGTGTCTCTACAAAAGGTAGGGGAATAGCCAACCTAGACATCTGAAATTAAGCACTATGTCAGCAATTAGTCTGGTCCTAGTCCTCAGATCTAGAGGTAAAAGAAGTATCTGGGTTAGTTAAGAGCAACTGTGGTAATTTAGGGATGGAGCAGAGCCTTTTATTTCTTTTGATGATCAAGCATGTATTCCAATGTGTATACTTTATAAGATATGGAAAATAACAGAATAATTTGCTTGTCTCATTTTGTGGAGTTATTTGAATGAAAATGAACAAAAGATCTGTTCAATTTACAAACTAATAAAGGCTGCTTTAATGACATAGTGGTGCCATAATTAGAGATAATGAAGTAATATGCAGTTTACTAAGAAATCTGGCATGATATTTATATATTTAGATAAGTACTTATGCAGTGGGTGCTATAATACCAGCTGTTCTGTCTTCAGAGCTTATCATAAAATAAGTAAAATTTTAACAAAAATTCTGCTGGGTAATGGCAATTGACAGTGTGTGATCAAGCTGGATTGGCATTTTGGGGCAAATACTTGTTTGTGTTGCCAGATGGTAGCATTCTATAAATCCTTACTAAGACTTCCAGGTTTCTCAAAATACTTACAACTAAAAGATTAATTACTGACCATGAACACTTGGTTAGCTCTTTTCTGTTCTGTTTGGCTCAGTTCATTTGCTAGAGCAATTCACTTGGTTTTATTCTAAAATGTCTCCTCTTTCTGGATGTAATCTGAGCTGTACTGCGTATGTTTGATATATGCCCAAGTAATAATTGGAATTTACAGTAAAGTAAATTCAGGGAAATGAATAAAAAAATTGAAAATCCTTCACCACTTAATTCCAGCAGAAAATTTGTCCAGAAGGTATCATTTCAACTTCTAGAGTTAGCAATCAGGGTAGCAAATGAAAATAAATTATGACTGTTTATCCTTTAATTCGTGATGTTTTGGTGAAAAGTCTAGTGGGGACCGACTCTGATTTTTGGTGACTACAAAGGATGCTTGAGTTGTTTCAAGTAATTTAGAAGTTAAGATACAGAAAAGACAACTTGAACTTGAGTTTGATGCCTGGTGGCTTTATAGACATATCCAAATAATGTTCTTAACAGCAATTGTTGACAACTGCCCACTTCCAGGTTAGTTTTTCAACTTCCCAGTCTAGCCTGCAGTCCTGGAATAATTTCCAGGTGCTCCCATCTTTTTCCCTCTAGAATAGAATAGAATATAATTATTTATTGGCCAAGTGTGATTGGACAAACAACGAATTTGTCTTTGGTGCATAAGCTCTCAGTGTACATATAAAACAAGATACATTTGTCAAGAATCATAAGGTACAACACTTAATGATAGTCATGGGGTACAAATAAGCAATCAGGAAACAATCAATATCAATATAAATCATAACTGCAACAAAGTTACAGTTCTGCAGTCATAAGTGGGAGGAGATGGGTGATAGGATCTATATTAGCAGGTACAAGGATTAATTACAAACCCCAAATGATGTGAAAGTACTGGTGATGATGACTAGGAACTATGTTTCAACAGAAATTCTTCTTCTTTATACCTGATTTACTGTATTTCAATGTAATTCAACAATTATTTCTCTTATTCCTCTGGTCACATCCAAAGTAGTAGACAGGCATACACACACACACACACACACACACACACACACACACACACACACACACACAAACCCTTTTTTTTTACTAAGTCCTATTTGATTTTAATGAAAGAGAAACTAGTTTTCTCATTTCAAAGACCATTTCAGAGAAATTGATAAGTTTCTCCCTTAATTGGTTGCAAAGGAGGATTATGAATGTCTTATCTTTCATGGAACAATATTTTGTCCAGTTATCTGCAGCCTCTTTGGCTTCTCACATTTGTATTAAATCTCAGAGGCAGAGTGAAGATGGAAGTGAATGTTTTTAAGTAACTGTACTACTGCCACTGCTAAGGAGGTTCTGTCCTTGGACAATTATTGGATAATTTTGCCTTACCCAATGTAAATTTTGGGGGGAAAAACCCTCAATTTATAATTTTTGAGGATTCAAAAAGGCCAATTGTGTCCTGCTTTCCTTCTAAGATGGAATTCCTTCCTTAGGCAAATTCTTTTAACTTCTTCATATTCATTTTTGGACCCTGGGATATTCTCTCAAATGTTTCTGTATGACACATTAAGTACCCATTCAGAAGTTATCAGCAAACACAGAATGAATATGCAAAACAAAGCATTTAGTCCTGTCTCCAGGCCACATCATTTAACTCAATTTCTAATCAGCTGAAGTTTAATCTTTGCAACAAGGAGCCTTTTTTACTCATGCAAATTTTCGGTAGCTCCCAGCCTCTCTCAAGATTTCCATCAAACTGTAATTTTTTAAACATGAATTAAGAGGGGGAAATGCCCAGCTGGGAGGCAGTACCTAGGCAACCACAATTGTTGGAGAGTGCTAAGGAGGATTATTCTGGTAAGTACTTAAATGGGAGACCTCCAGAATGTTCTAGGGATGCATTGCAGACAACATGGAAGACAGACAACCCCAAGATTCCAGGAAAGATTGGGAAGGTGAAAATCAATAGGTTTTCTTGTGATCTCAGAAAGTTTGATGGATGTGTCCATGAAATCACTTTAACTAAAAGGTGATTTTACTCAGAGGAAAATGTACTGAATATATAGCAGGAACGTATGATCCAGAGCTCAAGGAAAGAGACAGAGAATGCAGTGTAATTCCATTGCCCACACAGATACCATTTTCTACCACTCTGGCTGAATTATTTTATTAATAATAAGCCAGCTGACAATTTGACTGGGTTCTCTTAAGAAGATCAGTTACAAATCTCACTGTGCTCAACCAAATTACTTACAATCTTGGCTAACGGGATTTTTGGTGATAACCTGAACATGTTCAGCATGAACTGAGGGAGATGGGTAGTTCAAACCAGAGGTAGTATTCAGCAGGTTCTGACCAGTTCTAGAGAACCGATAGCGGAAATTTTGAGTAGTTCGGAGAACTGGCAAATGCCACCTCTGATAGGCCCCGCCCCCATCTATTCTCTGCCTCCCAAGTCCCAGCTGATTGGGAGGAAATGGGGTTTTTGCAATATCCTTCCCCCAGGAGTGGGGAGGGAATGGAGATTTTACTGTATTCTTCCCCTGGAATGGGGTGGGAATGGGAATTTTACAGTGACCTTCCCCTGCCATACCCACCAAGCCATGCCCACAAAACTAGTAGTAAAAACATTTGAATCCCCCCCCACTGGTCCAAACCTGATAAATACATAAATGTGTTTTATTTTGCAACACAACATAAAACTGGGCAAACCCTGAGAATGTGTTAATTCAGACCCCAACTTAAATGTGCTGTGTGAAAAGACCCTTCATTGGTGACTTCAGGAATAGTCCAGTAAAAGGTGATACTAACTTTTTAGCTGTATGTCAAAACGACAATTTTGTTTCGGGGCTTCTGTACAGAATGTAATACTGTAATACTATTGCTCAGCAAAATCAATTCTCAAAAAGATTTGCTTTGTTGTTCTGATAGTGGGGTTTTTTTTTTTTTGTTTCATTTCTGTTTTTATCTTTATTATTTTAAATTTTTGGGAAGCTGTTTTATACCAAATCTGACCATTTGTCCACCTAACATGGTCTTCACTTATTTCTTAGAAGATGCTATCCCCAGCAGCATCTGGAAATTCCCGAGGCTAAGATCTGATAGTTTTTGCATGAAAACCATATACTCTGCTATTGACTACAGCCATTCCTTTATCTAATTTGTTGTTTATTTATTTATTGGTATGTTATATTGTTTAAATTGAATTAGCAACTGAATTCACACAGTGGAAAGATGAGGAGAAAGTCCTCAATAAATCAATTCTATATAAATGTGTTCTTTCTCTTTCACCTAGATCTTTGGAAACTAGCATTTGCAAAGATGAAATATCTCAGCTGGTTGAGCAAGAATATTTGAGTCTTACCCAAGAAAATGCAACAGAGATAGAAATGCAAAGATCTGAAGATGAGAAAGTGCCTCCTGTTGCTTCAGTAAAGGCTCCAAATAGCAAACAGCTACTCATGCTTTCTGATGGGGACCAGGCTTCAGATGAGAAGGATACAATGGAAAATGTCTATAGGGCACTCACTGGAAATAAAAGAGATATGAAGTTGAAGTCTATTTGTGATGTCCAGTTGTCCACCAAGTCTACTGTCACAGGCATTTTACTCCCTGCAAAATTAATCCATAAGAATAATAAAAGCACAGAAAGTGGAAACAATACAATGGCTTCCAACACTCAAATTGCCAAGCTCTTGGCTCAGCTCCCACTCAAACGTGTTGAGGCTACCAAAACTCTGGACAGTAAATTGGTGACTGAAGAAACCAAGCTCATCAAGGATCTATTGCAAAACAATGTTTTTGGATCTGTGCCCCACAAAGACAGTATCACAAGGCCACCCCCAATTATGACAATAACAGAAAGTCAAGGATCAGGTCAAAAGAAGCAACTCCCAGTGTTTGCCAAGATCTGCTCAAAAACTGAACCTGAATTTGTTGCTGATGGACTCTGTCAAAATCATGGTAAGAGCTGTGGACTAACTAATATTAAATAAGAACAGACCTAGGAAACATACAATTTAATGTCAGGCTCAACCCTACCTTATAGTTTCTCAAAAGATTTCTTTTCCATAGGAAGAAACTTTTGCTTTACTACATTATCATCAGGAAGCGTAAGAATTTCTAATTTCTCTGGATAGTTTGTATTTTAATTTGATTTTTGGAACTAACTGAGAGTTCACTTCAAGTAACTGGAAAATTTCCCTCCAACTATGCTTATCCATTCTCCCTCATAATAACAAAACCATTGCATACCTGTAACCAGTAGCGGGATTCAAATAATTTAACAATCAGTTCTCTGCCCTAGTGATTTCTTCCAACAACCAGTTCACCAAAGTGCTCAGAAAGTTAACAACTGGTTCTCTCGAAGTGGTGCGAACTGGCTGAATCCCATCACTGCCTGTAACCTACTTTTAGAATTGAGATGAAATATTTTATGGGTTCCCACACCACTAAACCTGCCAATTGTGCTCTGGTCTGAATGCAAGCTTGGCACACAACTTTCTTTAAATGAGAGGCTGCCTTTACAAAAATACTTAACTTTGTTAGTGAACTAATCAATAAACTTCTAAAACAAGATAAAAACAAATGAAAGTTCAAAATATTCAACTTCAGCTATTCAAGTTCAGCTATTGTATAAATGCTGCTGCAAGGTTTGCAACCAACCTAATTTAGGATAGTTCATGAGCTTTAGTATGCCAAGGTGCCTAAGTTCAGCCTAGCGCAATAGAGCAGCCATCTTGGGACTTAACACACAACAAATTAATAGTGTTGGAAGGGACCTTGGAGGTCATCTAGTCCACGCATCCCCCACCCAAGCAGAAGATCCTACACCAGTGATGGCGATTTTTTTTCTTACGGCGTGCCAAAATTGTGTGCACCTGCACTATCCCGTGCATGTGTGCCCACTCAATCTCCCTGCCCACCTGTGCATGCGACACCCCCAGTGCATGCACATACAACCCCTCCCCAGGCTCCAGAGGCTTTCCTGGAGACTGAGGAGGGCAACAATGGCCTCCCCCAATCCCCCGGAGGCCCTTTAAAGACTGAAAATCAGCTGGCTGGCATGCACATGTGCACTGCAGCTGACCTAGGGCAATGGCTTCTGTGCTCTCAGAGATGGTTCCATGTGCCACCTATGGCACACATACCATAGGTTCGCCTTCATGGCCCTAATTGCATACTTATAAATTTCTACAACACTGTTTACCAGAGGTGGGTTTCAACTGGTACAGACTGGTACAGCCATACAGGATGGTGAAATTTAGCATGCCTTCCTGTACCCGTTGGTCAGAAGGCCCCGTACCAGAATGCTGCCTCCCCTCATTCACTCTTTCACTCTCTCTGCCCATCCTCACCATGTTGCCGAAAAGTTCTCAGAAGAAGAACCAGAAGAAGAAAGAACTGGTGAGTCGCTGGGGGGTGGGGGGATGTTGAGGAAGGGGGAAGAAACAGAGGGGCTGCTAGAAGAGTGTGTGTGTGTGCACAGGCTGTGGGTTTTAAAAACATCTGAGTGAATCCAGGAAGAGGGAAGAGGCAGAGTGGCTGGAAGATACTATAGGAATACATGCTTCCAGCCCCTCTGGCTCTTCCCTCTTCCTAGATTCACTCAGACGTTTTTAAAACTCAAAGCCTGTGCACACATACACACTTCTAGCTTCTTTAAAAACATCTGTGTGAATCCAGGAAGAGGGAAGAGGCAGAGGGGCTGGAAGAGTGTGTGCTGTGCACAGGCTGTGAGTTTTTAAAACTTCGAGTGAATCAAGGAAGAGGCAGAGGGGCTGGAAGTGTGTGTGTAAGGTAGTCAGTAATATTGAAGACCAGTAAGAATGACCATAATTCCTCTGTAAGTAGCTGTTTTATTGTTTTGTGTACTTATTTTATTCTTATTTAAGTAGNGACCTGGCGTGCATTACGGAGACCTGGTTGGGCTATGAGGGGGGTGTTACTCTTAGTGAATTATGTCCACCAGGCTTCCGGGTGGACTATTGTGGAGAAACCTCCTGGCTTTAGCATCTCCTGCCGGCATTTGTCAGGAATAGGACACATGAATTAGTTCATTTTTTTCTGGGAAAAATGCTGCTAATAGGTCAAATACAATTGCACAATGTTAACAGTAACAGAGTTCAAAGAGGTCATCTAGTCCAATACCCTGCTCATGCAGGAGACCTATACTAGGGATTCGAACTGTCAAACTTCCAACCTTTCTGATCAACAAGCTCAGCGTCTTAGCCACTGAGCCACCTAGCCAGGGTCTTGAAGGTACCAAGGTATTAGATTTTGCATTACTTTATAGGTTAAAGCCAGCATCTGCCCAACTGCATCTGGTATCAAAAGCTAGGTAGATTCAAGTATCCTCCTGGAAATTCCTAGAAATCAAAACACAGTGGAAGAAAGCAATAATGAATCACTGTTATGTTGTCTAAAAAACTGCTTATCTTGTCTGTGAAAGGGTGAGGAGTCAAGTCAACATGAGGATATCTTGACTTGCACCTCACCATGGGAAATGTCCTCCCTATGAAGAGGACAGAGTGAGACAGAGAATATTTCTGTTTTGTTTTGGATGTTATATATTTACTTCTTGCATGGATTTCACATTCCCAATACTCAGATGCCATAGTGTCTGCTCTCATGATAAAAAAAAAATTCTACACGAATCAACTTTTGATTCATTGGCCAGAGAGATTTTTAATTGTTACCACAGAAGACTACTGACAGTGAGTTCAGCTTTGGAAGTTGTTTACTTTTGTACAGCATGAAGCCAAAATGCTTAAAGATGTCCTTTCCTTCCTTACAGTGTAACTCTTTTTATACTAAGTCATATTATTTTATTCTTCATTACAGAAAGTACCATAGTTTTTACTTCTGTGGGTGGTTTTGTTATATTGCTGTCTGTAAATTGTTTTTGTTGCCATAGTTGTGGTTGCCTGTATTTTAAATTCATGTCAAAATGAAAGAAAATCTCATAGATTTCTAAAGCCCTGTATTGAAAAATCCACTCTTTCTCCCTGTCTAGGTATTCTTTTAATAAAAAATCTCTCACATTGTCAGCAATGGGAAGGAAATGATTTATAACAGCTCAAGGGCTTGTTTAAATTCCCCCAGACTGAAGATGAGGCTGAGGGTTAGAATTGTTTATGATGCCCCATTGAACTCATGTTCTGCCTCTTTTTCCCTTGACTCATTTTCCAATAGTTGGAAAACTGATTTCAGATTTGCTCTTTGAGGTTGGACTGCTACCTCTCTGTGAGTTTGGAGGGGGGATTCTAAACTATTCTATAGTTCCTAGGATGGCAGTCTAAATTATTTTTGGTTTCATTGGATGGGTTTGTTCCAATGTTTGGAGAATCATCCTAATAGTTTCCTCTTTATTTACTCCTTTGTTTATTATACTGCATTTTGGTTAGGAATTTCAAAACATTGCACATTATAAATTGGTTTTTCTCTTATTCATTCGGAACAGAGTTTGTATCAGCAAAGGGCACGGATCCCGTACCAGCAAACTTTACATCCTCAACTGGGGTGCTATTCCAGACAGGTATGGTGGAAGTTCTGTAAGTCACCTGTAGCATAAATTGGGGGGGGGGGGCAGGGAAACTGTAAATCTGAGAAGACCTCTGTGGCTTTGAGTCATTCCATCTCACTAGCCTCAGTCTTTTAATTATAGAGGGACGGCAGTAGTAAATCCCTAGAAAGAGAAGGCAGCATTCTCTAGTAACAGTCTTGATCAGGGGTTGCCAAATACAGTACTAACATTGACCATTAATGTTTCCAAAGGGAGGGGGAGAAACCCATGCTGCAACCAATGCTCACCCTGTACTCGGAGTATGCCTCATTAGAATACCAGTGATGGCTGGAGGCAATAACAGGGGTTAAAATAGAATGGAAACCTGANTTGTTGTTGTTACAGCCTTAGCACAAGAAGTTCAGTTTGGTACTTGCTGCTGCTTACTTTTTTCAACCCACAAACAAAAGTGGCTGTTATTTAAAAAATGGATCCTTTCGACCCATTGTAGGAGTTATTTGAAAAAACAATCTCTAGCATACAGTACAGTCCTGTTTACAGTTATGTAAATGATACTTATATCTCCACAGGCATAGCTCATGTAATTTTTATTTTCATAGACTTTCCGAGCCTGGCCAAGAACTTTTGGAATGAGATCTCTTGAAAGATCATGAGGGGAGTTTTGTTTTGTTTTTGCTTTTAAAACAAAGAATTTACATAACATAAGTCTTTTCCAGAACTGGCAGCTTCAAACTTAGACACTGGTTGAAAAGCTGCAGGGAGTCAGATGACATATAACTTTAATAATTATTGTAATTTTGTTACTTGTGTCGACTATGATAATCAGGCTAAATGTATTTGTTCCATCAAATAAGTAGAGATACTAATGTAACTTTACCATTTTTTTTCCTTGGCTGCTTTTTAAATTTAGGGAGATTTTACAAGGATCATTGTAAGAATTAAAAACGAAGGAGAAACATTTTCTATTCCATGGTTTCAAGGGGAAACACTTGACCTGCTACCTGCCCATTCCATATGGGACAATTTAAAATTGAGATTTTTAGGAACAATTTGAACTTGATTCTCCAAACTAGACGAATTGGTCAACTGAGTGATTGTTTCATTTTGTCTGAGAAATCCAAGTTCTTTTTGGCTACCAGAATATTAAGCTTTACCAAGTTGATATACACTGTTTTTCTGATACTTATTTTGGAAAGAATTTCCAAATATTTTAAGCACATTTATTTTAAGGTTTGATGCTCAAAAGCTCCCTAGTGAGGAGTTTTCCCTACTCACAGAAATGTATTTAGAGTTGTTCTTTTTTAGATGATCCAAAAATAGTGATATTCCTCAAATTAGAGTATTTCATTCCTAATCTACCATGCAAGATTTGCCTTGTATTTTTTTCTGTGAGTTTCTGGTATCCAAAGAGAATCACTTATATTTCACGAGAAGTCAG